GATGAAATTCGTGCAAACATGTTTTGGATATGTCGAGGATGCACATACCCACGTAAATCGGCTTGTAGAATTTCACCTCGAGTTTACGCAATTCCACAGCGATTAAGTTTTCCGAAAAAACGCTTCTACTGTGGAAATTTGGTTTCGCGATCATCCCTCTGCGCCGTACCGACCGTCCCACTTTGTTAATAATTTTACATCGACACGATTGCGCACATTTTCCATCGTTTTACCAAACACCGCATTATTCATTAATTTATATAAATTTTTTTCGAAATCATTTTTAGCCAATGTTCTGAAATGTGTATTTAATTCTATATAATTTTGAAGCCAGGGAGATTGAGAAAACTGTAAAAATTCGATGTATTTTTGTTACACGAAGGCCGTGCCGCGTACACTGCTGCAGATTGCGGTAGTGTATCACGTAACGCTTCTTATCGATAAACGTTGCAAGTAGCTTGAATTCTCGCTTGCCAGGTGGTTTGTCGCGTGTCGGGCAAAACGGTAGATCAGTGTGCGCATCGTGAAGATGTTGCGGGTACTCGAAGTCCACTTCGAGGATATAGCCCGTAGACGAATCTAGCGCGATGGATGATACATCAAAATTTGACACATCGTCGACCCATCGAAAATCAGCATAGGGCAGCGGTTGACACATTGCCCATCCGTACAAATTATTTACATCAAAGTACATCAAGTACGATGATGGTTTCGATGGATCGTACGACTCCATGTACATGTTATTAGCGCGAGCGTATCTACCCGAACATTGGCTCAGACCACCGCGTATACCACGTTCGATAAACATAACCATGTCGATGTCTGTAAGCAACTCGAACGTGATCTTTGTATGCTTCAACATGGCGTCCCACGTGTATCCGGGGAGAGTATAATAATACGCGGGGTCGAGTCCGTAACTTTCGATACATTTATCTCGAAAGTTTTCGAAAATGTCGGCTAATAACAAGACATCAATTTTGAGGTACAAGTCGCTATATTCGCCTAGCGTCCGAATGGAGAATCGCGTCCAGACGTTCTCGGCGTGTGCGTAATCGCTCTCGATACAGTTTCACCGGTCAAGGAACTGTAAAATGATTCGCGCGATGGTAAACACGTATCATGCAACCTGTCGACGGAATCGATGTATTCGTACGGAATACACCTTTTCGCGTTAACAAATTGAAATTTTCTGTTGATAAATTTTGAAATTCCGATTTTAAAATTTTGAGTTTATCTTTGTCCAAAAATGATGCCAATTTATCGAGACTCGATGCGAGAAATTTGTATGAATCGATGAAACGTAATTTTATTTGATTTTTTGATTCTTCTTCTTCTTTAAGATCAACACTTTTGGTAAACGAAATATATTTTTCCTTGGTTATCGGTAATAACTCGATTTTCCCTTCGAACGCTGTGGCTATTTCCTCAATAATAAAATGAGAATCGTAACCGGATAAATTGTGAAACACTATCGGAATACAAAAAGAATCTTTATAATTTAGATTACAATTTGAGTGTGCGGGACCTCTGTACCGCCCGGTCAGATGGCAATGATCGCGAACGCGTGTATCGTCTTGCGCAAACGGCTTTTCGCATATATGACAACGAGTGGCGCTATGGAATTTCTCCCACTCATCGGATGTTAAATTTACCATGGGGACATTTGTTTTTAAAATATTCTTAACGCGAATTGCTAAATTTTTAAGGTCTTCAGCGAACCATGCTATACAATCAACGCTTCGACGCGAATGATACGTTGATAATGAGTCGTCGTACGAACAATGTACATAATAAGCTAAACTAAATACCCGATGGTGTTGATATAATTTTTCTTCTTTCGTCTTGGTCAGGACACATTCCAAGTCGGCGTACACGATGAATGGAAGCCGCTCCTTCCGATTAGGGTTGCTGAACTCGAGCCACTTGTCCTTGTCGCTCGGCAATCGGACAGCGCAATCGTTTAGCTTTCCGCAGTCGACCGTATGCGATTGCAACTTGTCGTCCGAATAAAAATAATGAAGGCATCTGTAAAAGAAAAAATTTTTTTTATCATAAGATTTTTATATAAATTATAATTTTCAAATAATATAAAATAAACTTACCGATCACAGATATATCTTTGGCCATTGTGTTTGCTCAATTGCGAGCTCACGAGCCGTGATAAATTCTTGATCCAAGCGAAATGTCCCACGCTGTTGTCATCTTCAATGTACAGCAGATTCACATGCTTGTCCCGCTTCTGCTGCGAAAGACGTATCGGGACAATGTTTTTGTCTTCGATGCAGTACACATTGATTGAAATGTCATTTGCAAGTTCAAATTTTTTAATCTGATTCACAGTCACTGGAAACTCAATGTCCGGAAATTCAGCACTGTCGCGTAATGCGGGTACGATGATTCCCGTTCCGCGTTCCTTTCAGCGGGATACAGAGCGGCGACCACTGCCCACGCGAAACACGCATTGTCCTTTGATTGCACGTTAACCACCGCTCTCTTCATCATAATCTCCCGCGGCAATTTAATGTGACATCCCGCGCGCATTGGATTGTACTTGTTTATATTTACAGTCAAGTTCAGTATTCGCGACAATGCCCACCCGCTATCGCGTTCCTGAAACTCTTCCAGAGACGCTAGGGTGGACTCGATAACGCGCCGTTCGTACCACTCGCGTAAATCAGATGTGCGAAAGAGTTCATAGTTTCTCGTATTCACACTTTTATTCGCGTGTTTATCACCCGACACAAATTCGCCGTTGAATATAGTGTTCACTTTTACACTGTTGTGTTTTTTTAAAGCGTCCTGCACATGTTCCAACACAATGTCTTTAGCGTCATCGAGAAATTGGTGCGGTTCAATGTGATTATAGTTTATCACCGCACCAGTCGATACGCGACTCTCGAACGCCGTATCAATTTCACGCCACACAAGTGCATTTTGATGCGCACTACATCCGGCACCCGCGTGTACGAAACGTCTCCGTACCGAATTTTTCAAACCTTCGAGGCGCGCGATTCGAGCAATCAGTGATTGTCGATTTCCGATCGATAATCGCGGTCGTTTGATTCGACTTTGCTCTTCCAGCGACTCGATGTACTCGTCGCATCGTTGCTCCCACACAATGTAGTTTTCCAATGAATCAAGCAAAGCGGATTGTTCTCGCAAAATTTGCTCCTCCATATTGCTAACGTACACTTGCAAAATTTAGCGTTTCTAATGACAGGTCTGATGCACTTTAGCTACTGGTGGGGTGCGTCTCTCTATCATGATTTATATACCGTCTCATGCATTGTTTTATCATCGAACATTCTAGAACGATTTCATCTTACAAAAAATTCCCCGTAGTACCGTGTGCAATTTGGCCTTGATAATTTCACGTTTTGTCACGTACAATACATTTGAAAAATCTAACATGATTGCATCAGGGGCAACCGTACATCGGCCCCTTGATTTTAGCGCTTTCAGCTAAATCTTTGTCTAGGGATGATGCATGTTTTAACCTTGGCAATTATTTTTTCACTATTTGTCACGTACATTTGAATAATTTTGGTGTGATTGCATCAGGCGCAGCCGTACATCGGCGCTCGATTTTAGTAAATTCAGCTAAATCTTTGTCTAGGGATGATACACATTTTAACCTTGGCAATTATTTTTTCACTATTTGTCACGTACATTTGAAAATTTTAATGTGATTGCATCAGGCGCAGCCGTACATCGGCGCTCGATTTTTGCAAATTCAGCTAAATCTTAGTTTCGATGCAGATCTTAACCTTGAAAATTTCCCGTTTTGTCACGTACATTTGAATAATTTTGACGTGATTGTATCAGGAGCAGCCGTACATCGGCGCTCGATTTTAGCAATTTCAGCTAAATCTTTGTTCCGAAGATGATGATGTCATCGCAGCCATACATCGGCGCGACAAAATTTTGGAGGAAATTAAAATGTTGCGTCAGCAATAATCCCCTCTACATCACAATTTGGGATACTATTTGAATTGATATTGATTCTAACACGATTGCAGTATTGCATCAATCGCGCGTGTGAAAGGTTCACCGCTGAAGAAATATGAATTTCTACGTTCCGATTCGAAACGGTGAAACTCCACCGTGTAAGAAGCAAAAATGCGACACGTAAGTTTAAATCGTTTAAAAAATTTGCTACTTATTGATTTTTAATATTGTTGTATAATTATTTATATTTTTATAGTATTCAGCCTCGTCGTGCGGCTCGCATACTTGGAAGAAGGTACGCTCTAACCCCGACGTCGTACAAGTATTTGGACGTTGGAATAAGCGTTGGAGCTGTATCGTACGTGGAACTGATTCTCGGCGATAATCGAGGCAATCAAATAGTGTTGTCCTTTTCAACGTGGAATTTGTTGATGCGGAAGCAAGCAGACGTTGAACAATTTCTACAATCGACTGCTCCCCCATTAAGAATTGGAGATTTAACGATTGAAATGTATCAATCGAAAATTGTAAAACTTGCATTATGCGAAAATTCGTTGTACATGAAACCAGAAACATTATTACATTTATTTATTTTTGAAAATTGTATCGATCTTATGCATAATTGGTTATGCGAGAATACGTATCTCGTAAATGAAAAATTTAAACAATTTGAAACTGTATTACAACGTAATAATATTACTACTGTATGCGATGCTGTAAAAACGATACGTGAGAGTGATGTCTTTGACAGCGAATCATTGATCGATTGCGAATTATTAACATGTGCTGTAAATGATATTCTTTACGATGCGTGCAATAAATAATTATTTTTATTCAATCTATGATTTTATTTCTTTCCTTCCATACGAATAAGAATAGTCGACAATTTTTCTCAAGATGTAGAGAAATGCTGAGGTAGATGAGACGTGATGCTCTAATTGGAATGAGACGCGAGATATTAAAAAGATATATAATGAAGAGGAGTCTGCGACATTAGAATATTATTTCGTTGTTCTTTGCGTTTCGTTAGTCTTGTGTGTTACGTTAGTGCAATGGCCGAAGAAGACGTAATTTTCATTGATGATGAAGACGAAGATGTAATCATCATCAACATTGAAGACGAAGATGTTATTATCGTTGATGAGGACATTGAAGAGGCTGTTATAGTCGAAGATGGAAATCAAATGGATGTCGATGGCTCTGAGGAAGAATCCGAAGAGGAGGAAATACCATCCTTAGTGGATTCAGATTATGCCAGTGATAATGATGAAGAATTAAGACTGAAAAAATTTAAACATTTAAACGTGATGGAAATAAATAACCTGGATGTTACTATAAAAATGTGTCGCATTAAATATTATTATTACGATATGGAAGACGGAACTAAGTATTGTTCCGATTGTTTTTTAAGATTAGCATCATCATTTCACAACGTATACTCCGTTCGAAAACATAAAACGGATTATTGTGCTCTATTAATGGGCACTTATTGCAAAGAGTGCAAGAAAAATTTACATCAAATATTACCATGCAATATGTGCCCCATTTGCACAAATTAAATAAATGGATAACATTGTAAGTATTATTTTTATATTAAATAAAGTATCCTAAAATAAATTATTAAAATCTAATAAAATATGTATCTTTTCTGTTACAGAAGCGGTCTCCCCTTAGCTTGGCGCAACGCCTCCTCAGCCTGACGCATCACCCCTTAAACTTCCTGGAGCGGCCCCCTCACCTGGCTCCTCTGCCCCCCCCCGCACCCCCAAGTTATTATTATTATAATTATATCATTATTTTATTATATTATTATTATTATATTATATTTTATATTAATCATAATTTTAAGTACATACACACACACACACACACACACAAAATTGTATTAACACACACATTTTAATAAATTTTATATATTTTAATTGAGAAAAAAAAATCTAATTATTTACGTGCCTCTCCTCGCGTCCCCATCCTTGCGTTAGTTATAAGCATCGCGATATCGTTCTCTCTTGCACGTGTCATCTTCGCGCTATCGTTCTCTCTCGCGCACTAGTTGTAAGTCTCGCGATATCTCTTTCTCGCACGCGTCATCTTCGCGCTATCGTTCTCTCTCGCACGCGCTAATTTCAAGTCTCGCGATATTATCGTTCTCTCTCTTGTACATGTCATCTTGGCGCTATCGTTCTCTCTCTTTCATATATTCGTTGTTCACTTACCTTTGCGTCGTCCTTCTCCCACCTATACGTCGTCCTTGTCCCACGTTAACGCCATCCTTGTCGCACTGTCCTCTTCACACTTTGCACTGTCCTTTTCCCACACGTAGCGCTGTCCTTCTCACACCACCGTCCATCTCTCACACCGCTGATTCCCCTTCACTGCGCGGACCCCCTCGTCCATCGGTCGCGCCGCGGTTCCCCCTTCACCGCGCGGACCCTCTCGTCCATCACTCGCGCCGCTTCACTGCGCGGACCCCCTCGTCCATCGCTCGCGCCGCGGATCCCCCTTCACCTCGCGGACCCCCTCGTCCATCGCTCGCGCCGCGGATCCCCCTTTACTGCGCGGACCCCCTCGTCCATCGCTCGCGCTGCGGATCCCCCTTCACCTCGCGGACCCCCTCGTCCATCGGTCGCGCCGCGGTTCCCCTTCACCTCGCGGACCCCCTCGTCCATCGGTCGCGCCGCGGGTCCCCCTTCCCCGCGGGTGACGTCACCCAACGCGCGCCACGGTTCCTCCTTCCCCGCGCGTGACGTCACTCCCCCCCGCACCGCGGTTCCCCTCGCGCCTCACCCCCCCTGAGAGGACCTGAGTTAGAACTCTCATAGTATTACTACTGAAAATAATTTCTTTAAACAAAAAACATTTATTTATCCAATGGCTTCCAGTGGAATAATCACTATAATTATTATAATACTAATAATATGGATAATTGTCCAATATAAAAAGAAGAAATCTAAAAAACCGACTGTTACAATACTAGACGAAACTGACAAACCATACGGAATGCCTAGACCCAATATTAAATGAACTAAGAGCACACGATTTTAGAATAAATAAATTTTAATTTAAGAAACAATTATAATGAATATTGTACACAGAAATATATTGTATTTAAAATAAGGATAGGCAGATGTACATTTAGAAGATAGAAAAACTCCCTTTACAACCTCCGTTTTTCTTTTCCAACGGGGGAGGGATGTTATAGTCCGAAAGACTATAACTTATTATTTCATTGATAATATTAATAGAATATTCGCGAACGCGCAAAAACACTATCTCAGCGAACCACGCGTAAGAACGCTCGCCGGAAACGCGAAAACGCTAACGAAGGGATTCGACTTTGAACCTCCTTCGCTTGCACTTGGACTTCGGACGCCACGAAGAATCTCCATGACCATACATGGTCATGTCACTAGGCGATCCTCTCCAGAACACCCCCAAAATCGAGGGAATAAAAGCCGTCCACCGCGAATCCATGGCGAACAGTCGTTAATAAAAAATCATACAACAAACGTTAGTAGTGCGAAATCAAGAGCTAGTCGCTATACTGCACGAATCATCCGGCGAAGTTACTAAACATTCTAAAAATAAGAACGAAGCGATTCAGGAAAGGACGACGAAGAGAGGGCTCGAAAGAAACTGATTAATATACAATTATTCAAAATAATAATATATTTAAGAGAAAGATTATATATTTAAAATAAAGATTTTAAAAACGGCAACTAAGGATCCCGTAGTCTGTTCGATTCTCACGGCTACCCCACATCCCATGCCGCGCCGGGCACAACAATATATTTTTCGTTGAATTATTTAATATAAAGTAAAATGTAATATTACTTAACATTAAACTATATACATTTTCTAATGAAATACGCATGTAAATTTGTGTGAATATTTCGCAGGTGTTTCGAGGAATGGTGAAGAACTTAGAAAGATCGGGCACAGAGATATCCGTTGCAATAAAAACGCTTCAAAAAGATGCTTTTTCCCATGAGAAGAAGAAATTGATAGAGGAAGCCAAGCTTATGAATCATTTTCGACACAAACGTATATTAAGATTGTTGGCCATTTGTTTAGATGGAGATTCTCCGTTACTGTTCGTGTTGGAATTGATGGAAGCTGGTGATCTGTTAAAATATTTGAGAGATTGTCGTTTGCAAGAATCGGATTCGCCTGCTGTGCGTTTGCAGGATTTGCTCGCCATATGCGAAGATATTGTGCGAAGTTATTGTTACTTGGAAGAGTTGCGTTTCGTACATAGAGATCTAGCGTGTCGTAATTGTATAGTAGTCTTCGAGAAATCATGAGATATCTACAAGGATGATTATTATCTCGTAGTAAATACAATTATAAAAAAAATTAATTATTAAGAAATAATGATTAAAAAATGAATTCTTTTGAAAATACTTTCTATTTTTTTATCATAATAGTTGTAATAGTCATAATAATCGTGCATCTTTTTTTTAAGTAATATAGAATATAAATATTAATATAAATTTTTATTTATATATATCAAGTGATAAATGAACAGTTTTATTTTGCACATATTCTAAAAATGAACAACTTGAAACCAGAAATTTTTTGTTAAAATCACGTTTTAGAGAGGAGAAGATTTGTTTCCTATTTATTGGATGGCTCCCGAATCTTTGATGATCATAATATTTACTTCTCAAAGCGATGTTTGGTCATTCGGGGTATTAATGTGGGAAATTACATTGTTGGGTGAGCAACCTTATATTGCCAAGACTGATGAAGAAGTGATAAATTATGTACGTGCTGGAGGCAGATTGCCGATTACTTCTAACTGTCCGTTACCAGTTGATGCTACATTGCTGGAGTACAGCGGATGCTAGACCAAATTTCACATTTTATCTGAAAAATATTATAGCATTAAGAAAGAACATGGAAGATGCCTTACTGAGTCCATTCGATACTATTTAGCCGATATAATTAAATTAATTATTCTTTACCTTACTTTCCAAACGATTCAATAAATCTTAATGTAGAAAAAATATTTCTAGAATATTTCTAAATTGATTCTGTTATTTTCAGGTTTAATCTTAATATTAGATTTATCAATGAAGATGAAAGAAATTTTTTAATCTTACCTTCCATAAAATTTTGATAATTAAAAAACATAATTGTAAACAACGTAATATGATGACATATTTAATTTGTATTCTTAATTAGTCAAAGCGAAATCTAATACAATAGTTGCGATTATATATATGGGGCATTCTTTCTCAACCGGACATCCCCCTCTGCCCAGAATTCATATGAACCAAAAAATTTTTTTCAGGGCTGAAAATTTAGCTCAACATGTCTACTTTTATTTGCCGTGTGGCCCCTTTCAAAATTCAAAATGGCGGCGCGTCCACACTCCAAAATACAGGAAAACTATTTTATTTTTTCTCTATTATGTGCAAAAAAAGTATTACAGCGTATATGACAAAATTTTTTTTGTTATCAAAATTGTTAATTAGTTTACCCACTTTAAATTTGTGTAATATAATTTTAGGGATTCAAGATGGCGGATCCAAAATGGCGGATAAAATTTCAAAATTGGCTTGTTTCGGGTGGAACTCGGTCATAGGGGGTTTTCATGGTAGCTGATTACGAGTCTGCAGTAAAAATTTGAAAAATCAAAATGACGGACCCAATATGGCCGACCAAAATGCGTAATATCACTCGATCCGAATGAAACTTGATACTAGGGGGTTTTCGAATGCGCTAATTACGAATCTGCAGTCAAAATTCAAGAATCCAAAATAGCTTATCCAATATAGTGTGTGTGTGTGTGTGTGTGTGTGTGTGTGTGTGTGTGTGTGTGTGTGTGTGTGTGTGTGTGTGTGTGTGACAGATGAGGAAATATACGTTTTAAATTCTTCGATACAGATCTGAAATCCTTTCCCACATTAGAAGCTGTACCTAAACTTTCGTAGGGGTTGCATAGCACCTACCGCTATGTTTATTTGTAGACATGCCGAAAATAGTTCAGCTCTTAAAAGAGCTAAAACGTAAAAAAATAAACTTTTGAAACTGCTGAGGATTACCTTGAAAAGAACAAACTAATAAAATAGAAATTTAAAAAATATATTCACTTATAATGCTACTAGAGGTTCAAAATTATCGAATATTTCCCGACAGGTTCGTTGCAGACAAATGAAGGAGTAAAGTTTTTCAGGTCATAAAAATCACGAGCGCGAAGCGAGAAACACGGAGTTCGAATTTTGTTTCTCGCATGCAAAGTGTGCCTAGAGAAAGTATGAGAGCGGTGTCATCACGGCTGCAGAACGATATTACCGATGCCACCACTTATTACGTGAATTGTGCACGACTTTGTTTCGAATTGTCATTAAATCAGTTCTAGTAATTGTTCCTTTTAGAACTGTTCCGAATATATTTTTAAAATTTCTGTTTTATTAGTTTGTTCTTTTCAAGACAATCTTTACAGCAGTTTCAAAAGTTTATTTTTTACGTTTTAGCTCTTTTAAGAGCTGAAATATTTTCGGTATATCTACAAATAAACATAGCGATAGATGCTGCAACCCTTACGAAAGTTTAGGTACAGCTTCTCATGTGGGAAAGGATTTGAGATCCGTATCGAAGAATTTAAAACGAATATTTCCTCATCTGTCTGATAAAGACAAAATTTGTTCTGATTGTAGAAGGAAAAGAGCGAAATTTGAAAATGAACTCATCGATTTTGACAAACAATCTGATAATTCGTCACTTATTAGTTCGCATACTGATGATCTCAACGAAACCGATTCGTTTAATCATAGCAATGAGTCAACATTGGAAGGTAATCATAAAGATGTTCGTTCCCAAAGAGAAATTGATCTGGAAGGCATGTTAAATAAATTAAAAGAAAAGTTTTCTTCTTTAGAATTAACAGATCCGTTACGCGTTCGTATACTTACTATTGCGCCAGAAACATGGAGTGTCAATACAATAGCAAAAGAGTTCAAATGTAGTAGGCGAATAGCAAAAAAATCTAAAGATCTTAGTATTTCTGGGGGTGTACTTGCAGAAACTACAGTGAAAGCTGGTGTGCCATTACCAGAAAAAACTATTAAAAAAGTAACAGATTTCTATACTAACGATACTAATTCTAGATGCATGCCTGGTAAAAAAGATGTTGTTTCTGTAAAAATCGGCGAAGAGCGTTGCTTATTACAAAAACGACTTCTCCTTTTTTATTTAAGGGGCCTATTTGAATTATATAAAAATAGTGAACCAGATTTTCCAGTGAGTTTTAGTAAGTTCGCCCAACTGCGTCCAAAACAATGCATACTCGCAGGTGCCAGTGGAACTCATTCTGTTTACGTGTGCATAGTTCACCAGAATGTGAAACTAATGTTAGACGCTATTAATATTTCGAAACTCACTGAACATTCCACACTCCGATTAAACGATTATAAAGCCTGCTTACAGCAAATTACATGTAAAACATTTACTGTAAATTGCCAGCTCGGTGAATGCAATGAATGTTCAGATACAGAGAAATTTTCTGAACACTTACAAGAACTATTAACTACTAAAAACATTTGCAATGTGCAATTTAGTACCTGGACTGCCACTGATAGGGCAACTTTGGAAACTCGAATTCTTTCAACGACTAATTTTGTACAAGAGCTTTGCGATAAATTAATCAAATTAAAGCCTCATTCATTTATAGCCAAACAACAATCGCAATTTTTTGAAAGTAAGAAAAATAATTTACGTAAGGGTGAAATTCTAGCTGTTATTGACTTTTCCGAAAATTACAAATTTATCGTTCAAGATGCATCACAGGCTTTCCATTTTAATAACGCTCAATGTACTGTTTTTCCTGTGGTATGTTATTATACAGATCATTCGGAATTAAAACACAAGAGTTTTGTATTTTTATCAGATAGCACGCGTCATGATACAGCTGCTGTTTATGCCGTACAAAAAGTGTTAGTTCCATATTTGAAAAAAAAACTTAGTGCAAAAAATATTATTTATTTCAGCGATGGTGCAAAGCAGCACTTTAAGAATAAATATCAAATGATTAATTTAATTCATCATGAAGCGGACTTTGGCGTCAAGGCTGAATGGCATGTACATCCAACTGCGCACGGCAAAGGCGCATCTGACGGCGTTGGTGCAACATATAAAAAAGAGACTGCGCACCATAGTCTTATGTGTAAACCGACCGAAGCTATTCTAACACCTAAACAACTTTTCGATTGGGGTCGAAGCGCGATGAAAACAATAGAAACGTTCTTCTACAGCCAAACAGAGCACGATAGGTGTCAAAGATTTTTAAACAGACGATTTAAAGATGCTTCTGCAGTGCCAGAAATACTAAAAAATCACAGTTTTATCGTAGAACAATGTAACACTTTATTAATAAAAAGGTACTCAAATGCTCTTAGCGGATTTAAACTTAATTATTGTGCAAAAAATCATACATAAAGTCAGAGTCCCGATGTGTATTTTATCTGTAGTTTAGACTAGCGCACGCACACATGCATACTCATCGCAGAGAGGGTTTGGAGTCGCTATAAATACTGCGGGAGTGACGAATCGCAGGGTCCCGATCTCAGTTTTGAACACGCGCGCGTACACACACACACACACACACATGCACGCGGGCGCGCGCGCGCACACACGCACACACACATACAGACACGTGAGAGGCAAGGGGATTACTCACGTAAAACCAACACCCCGAAGGGATCAGCTTCCTGCTACGTCCATGTCGTTGATCCTGGGTGACGCCAAGAGCAGGACACACACACACACAAACATTATATTGGATAAGCTATTTTGGATTCTTGAATTTTGACTGCAGATTCGTAATTAGCGCATTCGAAAACCCCCTAGTATCAAGTTTCATTCGGATCGAGTGATATTACGCATTTTGGTCGGCCATATTGGGTCCGCCATTTTGATTTTTCGAATTTTTACTGCAGACTCGTAATCAGCTACCATGAAAACTCCCTATGACCGAGTTCCACCCGAAACAAGCGAATTTTGAAATTTTATCCGCCATTTTGGATCCGCCATCTTGAATCCCTAAAATTATATTACACAAATTTAAAGTGGGTAAACTAATTAACAATTTTGATAACAAAAAAAATTTTGTCATATACGCTGTAATACTTTTTTTGCACATAATAGAGAAAAAATAAAATAGTTTTCCTGTATTTTGAAGTGTGGACGCGCCGCCATTTTGAATTTTGAAAGGGGCCACACGGCAAATAAAAGTAGACATGTTGAGCTAAATTTTCAGCCCTGAAAAAAATTTTTTGGTTCATATGAATTCTGGGCAGAG